CTCCAACCTACAAGCAAAGGCCTCCAACCTACAAGCGAAGGCCTCAAACCTAATAGCAAAGGCCTCCAACCTAATAGCAATGGCCTCCAACCTACAAGCAATGGCTTTCAACCTACAGCAAAGGCTGGTACTGCACTGAGTCAAGGAGTACTGTTGTGGAGAGTGACGCCCAAGTTCCACCTACTAAAACACTGTTTCAGGTGTGATCGATCGTGCAACGTGAGCAAATTTTCGACTTGGGTCGATGAAGACTATTTGAAAAAGACCGGGCGCACCCTCAAGTTGACTTGCAGACAGTCTTGCCAAAAACGTTGCCTCCAAAGGTGGTTGTTAACCATACCTGGCAACCTGGAACGTTGTGCTCAGAATCGAGGAGCCTGAACGACTGACGACAGGAGAAAAACGGGCTTGGGAGCCCCACCAATCGATGCGCTTGTCCCGGGGCGGTTCACGGAGGAAGTGGCATGACATGACAACATTAGCTCAGTCTAGTCCAGAAAAACTTGTTCTACAACATGTGCCCATGAGGGTTGCAAGGTCGAGAGTTGAACTGCACACTGGTGTTCAAAGTTTGAGTCTACTTCTCCATGATCCCACCCGAGAACGGAATGACAGCGCGGACCATCGATGGGAACCACACACACATTCGAAAACAAAACGAACTTATGTGTTACTCGTTTCATTCCATATAACTATGTAAAAGGTTTTATTTATAGGCAAATAAACATAGGCCCAAGACCAGCATGCAAAGATTGCATGCGTTCTACGTCATGAATTTGAATAGCTTTGTGACGTCACAAAGCTATTCTGGTCTTTTGTATTTTTCGCAAGGCTCGCTTCCTTGAGCAGCCATGTCCTGGTAGCTGAGCCAGTTTAAGCTTAAAGTATAGATGTGCAAAAGCTTGCACGTGAAAAACGTGAAAATCACCATTTCGACTCAAAAAGTTGGTATGTACTTGAACTTTGGAAAACAAGGTCGTGGGGGGTATGGCCTCACTTTGCGTGATCGAATGCCCCCCTAGGGTTCGCCCAACGCGAAAAGAGCTCGAGGAACACGTCGTTTCACATTTTCCTTTTCGTTCCTGGTGTGAGGCCTGTGTTAGGGGAAAGGCCAGAGCAAATCCACACAAGAGAGTGGACCATACAGACGAAACCACACCAGTAGTAACTGTAGTTTACTGTTTCATGAATTCACGAACTGATGATGTAGTTTTGGACGAGAAGACTCATGCACCAATTCTTGTTGTCAGAGATCGATGGACGAAACATCTTTTTGCCCACGTGTTACCCTACAAAGGTGTGACAAGAGGTCCATATGGATCCAAGGTACTTTTGAACGACATCAAGAAACTAGGGTATTCCAAACTGGTCATCTGACATGATCCCGAACCTGCTCTCACCTCCGTCGTTGAGGCAGTAAAGAATGGGTTTGAAGGAACCTTGATCATCGAGAAGAGCCCGAAAGGAGTCAAAGAGTCCAAGGGAGAGATTGAACGAGCAGTTCAAACCTTTGAAGGACAAGCCAGGACTCTTCGAGCCGCAATCGAGTCGAACTATGGTGAGAAACTTCCTGACGATTCACCTATTTTGACTTGGTTGGTTGAACACGCATCCACAGTCTACAACCTGTTTTTCTGATCTGCCGAACTTCAAGACGGAAAGACTCCGTATTCAAGACTTCGTGGACGTGAATGGAAAGTAGCAGTTCCACCTTTTGGTGAGGCCATCGAATACCTCAAGAGAGGCCACACGTTTGAGGCCCAATGGACTAAAGGAATTTTTCTAGGAGTGAAAGACACCACCACAGAGAAGATAGTAGGAAACTCCACAGGTGTTTTTACAGTGCAGTCCATTCGAAGAAAGACCGAAGAAAATCGATATGACTCAGAATTGCTGAAGTCGATCACTGGGATTCCCTGGGATCCTCAAGCAATTCGCGAAGAACCAGCGATTGCAGCCTCAAGGGAACCAATCATTGCCAGTCCAAGTGGTGAGGCTTTAGTCCAACCACCGGCAATCGATGACAAGAAAAGAAAGCTGAGAAGGCTTTACATCGCCAAGAAAGACCTGGAAAAGTTTGGGTACACTGCAGGTTGCCCAGCTTGTGATGCCACACAGATTGGCACACCAACAGGTGTCGAGACAGACTTGAAGAGCACATCAGAGGAGAAGAAGAAGAGAACCCAAGAGTGGCAAGACACGAAAGTAGAGTAGGAGAGGCAGTCACTGGCATGCCACAGCCAGTCAGTGGCAAAAGACCTCAAACCCTTTATGGATATAAAAGCAAAAGACCATCGGGAGTTCCCGATTCATGTCGAGTGTTCGCACGACTTGACGTCGAAGCTCATTGTTTTCAAACCACAATGCCAGGAGGACCTGATTGGTCTACCGTCTGGC